CTTCATCATGAGCAGATTATCAAAGGTATCAAAGGCGTCAGTATACCATTTGTAAATCTTGCTACCCTACATGTTGAAATGAACAGCTTTTGGGGCTGTCAGGCCTTTAAATCCTTGTAGCTTAGGTTTTTTTTTGTAGCTTGGTCGATGGTTGGATGAGTGAAGAAGAAAAAGTTATTTGGATAAATTCAGAATTTAGTTTTGTGCTATAAATCTGTGCACTGTGTGTAACACTGAGTAATGCTGTGTCATACTAATGGGCCATGTTGTCGAAGCTTCTCATGTTTTCTAAAGCTTGAACATCAGACATAAGTTTCCTTTTGGGAGGTGTTTGTACATGGCTGTGTTGTACGTAAACCTGATAAACTGCATCCTGCCATCTTAACAGCATTGGCGTCATCAGCTTGCTGTCAGGTGATAGAATATATAAAGATGGACCATCGCAGATTCAGAAATAACACACAGCGAGGGTGTCCAATATCTTTGGCACTATTTTAGGGTAAAATTGCTGAAGCTTTTCATGTCTTCAAAAGTTCAAATGTCTGACAGACACCATTTTTGGATTATAATGAGAAACTGAAGAAGCCATTTATTCTAAAAAAAAATTCTTTTTTAGAATAAAATATTTTTTGTAGTATTTACATGTAAAACAGTCACATAAATCACAAAAGTCACATAATTCACTGATGCTCATTTCTACTCTCAGTTTATGTTACTCTTACAGTGTTATTACTCTTACACCACATTAGTGTTATTGTTGACTGCACTGTTTTTAATAAATAATACTTTTGCACCTTTCAGAGATAGATACTTTGATTATATGTCTGTGATCTTTCTGGCATTGTTTACTTTTGGTGTCACTCTTCTGTTTTCACAAATTTACTTTTTAATCCAGATCCTCAATACATTTCAGCTTGGGAAACACATCCATCCATCCAGTTCAGACTCACAGGATCACTCTGTCACTATCCCAACCGCGCTCTTTGACTTTGAGGACTGTGACGAGGCTGAGAAAGCAACACAGCAGAGACCTGCGCATCTGCAATTCAGAACCTGTAGAGGAAACATCACCGAGTAAGTAAAGGTTCTCACGACCACGACTTAATGGTCACAATTTGGCCTAATGTATACTGAAGCTACA